AATGTAAGACAACTTCCCGTGTTCCCATGTAGTGAACTCCTTTTATTGCTGCTGCCCCACACCCCATTCCCAGTGTCCGTTGTCATGTGTCCATGAAGGTGCACTGAAATTAAGAGCAGCCCAGCAGTGTTGATGCAAGGCTGTGATAGCTCCAGCCACAGTGTTGGGGGCCATAATATTTATTTATTAGCAATACTGCTAATATTATACTGCTTCATATAATAAAATTGCTAAGCGTGCAATCCTATACATGTTTAGACAGCATAAGATCCTACAACTCCCATTATGCCCTAGCCAGGATTTATTATTTTATTATTTATTAAAACATTTTTATGCCGCCCCATTCGCCTAAGCCTCGGGGCAGCTTACAACAAAAAATTAAAATAACATTTTAAAATATATACAGTAAAATACAAATATATAATATAAAACATACAATATAAAACAAGCCACCCTGGCCAAATAAAATTCAATAATATTAACATTTAAAATACTGCTTAAATAAAAAGGTCTTCGTCTGGCGCCGAAAAACAAATAACGACGGCGCCAGGCGGACCTCTCTGGGGAGCGCATTTCATAACTTAGGCGCCACCGCTGAGAAAGCCCTCCTCCGAGTAACCACCCTCCTAACTTCTTCCACGGAGGGCTCCCGGAGAAGGGCTTCTCCCGCCGATCTCAGGGGGCGGCTGGGCATATAAGGATGTAAGCGCTCCTTCAGGTAACCAGGACCCAAGCCGTTTAGGGCTTTATAGGTCATTACCAACACCTTGAATTGGGCCCGGACTTCAATGGGAAGCCAGTGAAGCTGACGGAGAACTGGAGTCATGTGAACATAACGTCCAGTCCCCGTCAGCAGCCTGGCAGCTCTATTTTGGACCAATTGAAGTATCCGGACCGTCTTCAAGGGTAGCCCCACGTAGAGCGCGTTACAGAAGTCCAGACGGGAAGTCACCAACGCATGTGTCACTGTCGCAAGGCAGTCGTTCTCCAGATAGGGGCACAGCTGATGAATCAGCCGAAGCTGGAGGAAAGCGCTCCTCGCCACTGCTGTTACCTGAGCTTCCAGTGAAAGCTCCGGGTCGAGGAGCACTCCCAAGCTGCGGACCTTGTCCCTAAGAGGGAGTGCAACCCCGTTCAGGACAAGGTTCAATTCACCCTCTCCGAAGCCCGATCCGCCAACCAACAGGACCTCCATCTTGTCTGGATTGAGCTTCAGTTTATTGGCCCTCATCCAGCCCATTACCTCGGCCAGGCACCGGTTCAGCACAGCCACTGCCTCACCTGGATTGGTGGAAAACGAGAGGTAGAGCTGGGTATCATCAGCGTACTGATGGTTCCGCAGCCCACACCTCCTGATGACCTCTCCCAGCGGTTTCATGTATATGTTGAACAGCAAAGGGGACAAAATGGACCCCTGTGGTACTCCATGGCATAGCTGCCATGGCGCAGAGCCATAGTCCCCCAGCACCACCTTCTGGAACCAGCCATTGAGATAGGAGCGGAACCACTGCATAGCAGTGCCTCCGACCCCCAATCCCGCAAGCCTATCCAGAAGGATACCATGGTCGATGGTATCGAAAGCCGCTGAGAGGTCCAGAAGAACCAACAGGGACGCACTCCCCCTGTCCTTCTCCCTGCACAGGTCATTGTACAGGGCGACCAAGGCAGATTCAGTACCGTACCCGGGTCTGAAGCCGGACTGCAATGGGTCCAGATAATCAGTTTCATCCAAGAGTGCTTGGAGTTGTCCCGCCACCACTCGCTCTAACACCTTGCCCAGAAATGGGATGTTGGCCACTGGTCTATAATTAGTGGCCATCTCTGGATCCAGTGACGCCTTCTTCAGGACCGGTCGGACTACCACCTCCTTTAAAGGGGCAGGCACCCAACCCTCCCTCAGAGAAGCGTTAACCACTTCCAAGATCCAGGTTCCAATCCCGTGCTTGGAATCATTTATTAACTAAGACGGGCAAGGGTCCAAAAGGCAAGTGATTGGACGTACTCGCCCAAGCACCTTGTCCACGTCATCGGGCCGCAGTAACTGAAATTCATCCAATAAATCTGGACCAGACGGCAGCGTTGGTGTCTCCTTTGAAACCTCTGAATCAATAGTGGTGTCCAGCTCGTGATGAATCTGAGCGATTTTCTCCCTGAAATGCCTGGCAAAGTCGTCACAGCGGGCCTTTGAGGGTGGAATCAGGTCTTCCTTTGGACCTGGACGAACCAGGCCTTGCACCACTCGAAAGAGCTCCGCCGGACGGCATTGTGAGGAGGCAATGCAAACGGAAAAGAATCTCTTTTTTGCCGCCCTCACCGCCACAGCATAGGCCCGATAGTGGGCTCTTAAGTGTGTTCGGTCAGATTCATCTCGTGATTTCCTCCACCTACGCTCTAGTCGTCTCCCAACCTGCTTCATCGCCCTCAATTCAGGAGTATACCAAGGGAAAGAGCGGGCTCTGCCCGGTGGGAGAGGACGCTTACGAGCGATCAGGTCTACAGCCCTGGTCATCTCCCCATTCCACAGTTCAACCAGAGCCTCGACAGGAGCACCCGTCTTGTCAGCCGGAAACTCCCCCAGGGCCTTCAGGAATCCTTCTGGATCCATCCGGCTCTGGGGGCGGACCCACATAATCAGGTCCGCACCCTTACAGAGGGAGAAGTCGCTCTTGAGCACAAACCTCACCAGGAAGTGATCTCACCAGGAAGTGATTGAAATGTTGAGGCATGGTGGGAGTTGTAAGATGATGATGATGATGATGATTTCTAGGCATGTACAGAATTGCATTCTAAGCAGTTTACATACAAACATATTAAAAGTCATTGGTAAATATATACATCATAAGCCAGTGTAGCATAATGCTTAGAGCACTAGACTGGGACTCAGGAGATCTGGGATCTAGTCCCCCTGAAGCTCACTGGGGGACTTTGGGCCTATCATGGACTTTCAGTCTAACCAACCACAGAGATGGAGAGCAGGAAGATTTGTGCGAGCTGCCTTGCAGGAAGAAAGGTGGAATGTAAATGTAATAAGTTATAGTTAATACATAAATAAATTAAACTAATAAAAGGGGTAGTAAAATGGAACAATACACATCAAAACACAAAACAGTCTGTTGAATGGCTTGAAGGAGGTGCTCCAGAGGCAGACGCCACTACTGAGGAGGCCCACCTTTGAAAGGTTACGTGGCAACATTCTGCTGGTTGCAGAACCAGAATGTGGTCCTGAGGCAATGCCAAGAAACCGGGCATAGCAGTAGGAGGTAGGGATGGAGTGTGTGATTTGGAACTGGGCTTGCAGGCGAAGTCACACTTGTTTCTGCGCTGGACAGAGCTGGGTATTCCTTGTTTCCAGCAACTGGTATTCAGAAGCATGCTATCAGTGATTCTGGAGATAGTACATATTATCATAATTGCTAGCTACTGATAGCCCTTTTTTCCATAAATTCCTCTACTCCTTTTTAAAAGCACATCTCATAGCAGCAAATTCCATAGTGCAAGGTAGAATCCTATGAAAGTTTACACAGCACAAAAGGCCTGTCACTTGCAGCATGCCCTGGTCAGCTATTACTTTTGCTGATTTTTACTGTCTGGGTTGTATCCATTGATTAAATAAACAAATAAATCCATAAGAAATATAATCCAAGAGAGATCTGCAGATATAGAAAACAATTTATTGAATTAAATTTGCACACAACAGGGGAAGGTTTTCTTGAAAAGGATTTATTCTCAAGAATAACCAGCTACCAATGAATTGTTCAAGATGGCTCCCCTGAGCAGTCCTCAGCTGGCCCTTTTATACATAATTCTTTAAAGGCTTACACAGCACACAGTTAATACTTTCCAATAGCTTACAGAAGTAAAAAGTTGCAATGGAGTGATCTTTCCCACTTGTATACCAAAGATGCTCTGAAGGAGGTTCCCCAGAGAGGTTCCCCTGGTGCTGACATTATATGCTTTTCATCGCCAGGTCAAGACCTTTTTATTTATCCAATATTTTAATTTAATATTTTAATTATGTTTTTATCCTCAGTCATGTGTTATTATGATGTATTTATTAGGTTGTTTTATATTGTAAGCTGTCCAGAGATAAACTGTAATGGACAGGTTAGAAATACCCTAATAAATAAATAATAATAAAGGACGGGGGAAGATGGGTTGCTATTACATAGAAGAGGAGGAGGAGGAGGAGGTGGACTGGTGTGAACTGCCCTTTGTTTGAGCTACTGTTATCTGTCAAGTGCCAACTAGTTTTCTCTGGACTGGTGCCTGGTCAGTATCACCTTCCTTTCAAGGATGCACACATGCTGATTTCTGGAAAAGAGCATTGCTCTCAGGCCTGGTTATGTGTGGATGATTTAACCAATGAAGGTTTTACCTACTGATTTGTGCATTATTCTCCTGTTATGTATTTTGGGCATACACACACCTGAACAAGGACCTATTTTGATTAACAGCAGCAGTCCATCCAAGTAAAAAAAAGTAAAAAAAAAATCCTTAAAGTAAAATATCCTAAGAAGGGAACTCATAGTTCCCGCTGGTTTGCCCATCAGCGGTTGAGTTCTCTACAAAGAACTCAACAGGCATGAAGGTCATCTGATCAATCTGCAATGAGATATACTGTCTTTCAATGGATTATTTCTCAATGTGCACCTTTGGCGTAAAGTTACAGGTGCACGCCTTTTTGCGGTGAGGTGATCCCTCTTTTTAGGCAATGCGACCACCCGCATGCCCACAGCTGCGACCGACGCCTGCCACCCCACTTGGAAGCTCGGCCGCTGCTCCCGAGCCGGGCCGGCACCTACATTCAACGGTCACGTGCTGCCGAACCCCGCCGGCGCCGAGCTCCGCTTTCCTGGTCCCCGCGCACGTGCGCTTTGTTTTGGTGAGAGCCGTTGGCGCGGCAGCGCGCCTGCGCGCGCCGGCAGGCCTCTCCCGAAGGGCTGGGCAAGGAGGGCGGAGCTGCGTGCGCGCGCGAGTCGGCGAGCGACGCGCACTCGTGCCTCCGGTTCAGGCGCTCTCTTTCTCCCAACCACCTCTGTTTTCTTCTCGGCTGCTTGTGGAGCGGGAAGCCTCCGGAGCGTTTTCAGGTCTGCGGCCTGGCTGAGGCGCCGTCCGAGGCCCTGCTACTCCGAGCGGCGGCGGCGGCGGCCGGCACCAGAACGGCCGCCGTCGCGGCGCTCCCAAAATGTCGCAGACAGCCATGTCCGAAACCTACGGTAGGGGAGGGGCTCACCGGAGGTGGGACTCGGCTTGGACGATGAGGGGGGAATTGGGGCTGGGGTGGGCTTGCCTATTTATGTATTACATAAAAGGGATTAGTGGCCTAGAGGGGCAAGGAGCTCTTTCCCCCTTTTTCCCAGCCCTTGGCCGTGAGGGAAAATCCTTTCCCGTCATCGTTGGTGGACCTATGTTGCAGTAGAACAGCCTTCCCCCACCTGGTCCTCTCCCGAGCGGCTAGGGGGATAACTGGGAGTTGTAGTCCAACACATTAGGAAGGAACCAGGTTGGAGAAGGCTGTGGTGGATATACATCTCTGATTCGTGGCAGAGTAGATGGTGCATTTCCTCTCCATCCCTGTAATCATTTGTGCTCTCTAAATATGTGGGCCTCGCATGCCTCTTCATTTTCTCCCTATAACTTTCCTCTTTTCCTCCTGACACCCTTTGCCAATTTTTGAAGAAAGGCTGTTTTTGTGATGCATTATATCTTGTCAACAGTGAAATAACTAGACAGGAATGTTAACATATGGTTCTTTGGGTTTGTATGTATTCCCTGGCTTTTAAAGAAAAGAGTGTGGTGAGTGTGTACAAACTTGTTTTGACTTCAGGTGGTCATGATAGTTAATACTTTTTAAAGCCCTACACATATGTTATTTCAGAAACCCTTATGGTAACCCTGTGTGGTGGTGCAGTGTATAAAAATGTACATACAGCTCTAGTGGATCAGAGTAGGGCCCATCTTGTCCAGCATTCTGTCTCTCAGTGACCAAGCAGCTGTCCATGGGACATCCACAAGTAGGACCCGAATGTCATAGCACTTTCCCCACTTGTGTTCTCCCATGACTGCTGTAGTTAAGCAGTTGATAGTATATAGGTATCACTATTTTTATTGTAAAATCATCCTGAGACTACTTGGTAAGAGAACAGTATAAAAAAGTTTTGTATTAAACAAACAAACAAACAAACAAACAAACAAACTATAAATAGCATATAGCCATTATGACTAGTGACTTTTTACTACAACTCATACAGTTGCTCTCAAGCTAGCCTAGGCTGTGATCTACATTCAATCCAAGACATGAATTGTGGGGACCCCTTCCTAATTTCACACTATAGATTGATGTAGTGGGAGTGCTCCTATTATAACCTTCCTGGACTGTAAACTAGTAGTGGGTTCTGGCTTACCAATTTTACTGCAGCTGTAATATGCAGTTTTTGCTTTGGGGAAACAATGAATTTCTTTCTAGATGACAACTGCTTTGTAATTTGGGAAAGCTGGATACCTTGGGATTCATCAAAGTTATGCCAGATTAATAACATTTGGTTACCTCTTGATTTAGAAAGAGGAATCCTTGTTCCTATTCACAAATCTTGAGCCATGTGCTAAAATAACATCTCCTTTTATTATTGTTAGGATTTGTGACTTCTGAGAATGATCAGCATTTTGAGATAGTGCCTTGTCTTGCCTGTGGCTACTAGATTTTCACTTCTCAACCTTTCTTAGGGTGCAGGCCTATATAATGCCCATAACCTTCCAAACTTGGAGGATTACGGGCATCCTATGCACAGTGGGAGAAGTGTAGAGGTGCAGATTGCCTCTATGCTCCTCCTGATCTAAGGTTTGTAAACAAAGTCTTGTTATGTTCCTCTAAGTACAGCTCTTCAGAACTGGGGAAAGAAGGCTGAGATGCCACCATGATACATCATATCTTGGTGGCATCAGTTTCCTCTCTATCACTAAATGTCTTTTTCTGAGGCTATTCTTATAAACTTGGGGAAGCAGCCAGCTCATGCTCCCTGTGAGGTGGGTGGGATGACTGAGCATGAATCTTATAAAGTCAGAGTGATATTCTGACCTTGTAGTTGGGAATCTGAAAAATCCTGTGGCCATCTAGATGCTCTCTAGTAGCCATAGGATTATGCTTTTTGTGGCTAACATGATCACCTGGTGTGGCATGGTGATGACTTTCTATCTGTTATGCAGTATCCAAAAGAACTTTATGATAAATGTAAATTGACTTAACATAAGACTGAAAGAATGGAAAACCCCTAACTAGAGGAGCAAATAATTTCCATTTCTCATAAAACCCAGAGAGTGGATAAATAATGCTAATGTTGGGATTTAATGCCTTCAAGGAAAGAAACAATGCTATGTGTTATCAAGACCAAATGAAAATGAAGACTCAGCATGTAATATCATTGGAATTTATAAAAACACAAAGCCCAAATTTTTCTCAGTGAAAGCGCAGAATGATTCCACTTTTCCCTAATGAGCAGGCAAAAATGTAAGTCCTAGGTATCACCATCTCTCAATTCATTCAGCAGTAGATGTAGGTTGCTTGACATATGATCACAAACATGTTTTTATTAAGTCTGCTGCTGCAAAGCACTATGGTTAAAATTCCTTATTAATTACTTGGATTTTTTCATTAAGTGCCTCATTTTTTCCTTGAAGAGCCTTATTTTGCTTGCCTTAATATATTTGGATGAAAGCCACATTTTAAAAATAAATACTATAAGAAACCCTGTTTCTTGGAATTTCCCCATTATATATTGGTAGTTCCCCATAAACTTCATTATGTATTGAATGATGATTTGAAGATACAGGTGCTCTCATATTGTGTGAGAGAACTTCTGCTCAGGTAACAAGGGTTTCCTCCCTCCTACAGTTCCCTTCCAAATCTACTTTTGTGGGTCTCCCAATCCACTTAAGCAGTTTTTAAGTATGTTTTGTAGGTAAGAGTGAAGGATTAATTGGATTCCATCCTTAGTTTAAGGGAGGAAGGTTAGTATAGTATCACATAATACTCAGATCTTAGGACAGAAGATAGTTGAACACATATAATCCATTTCAGTCATTCATGGTTTGAAATGTATCAGCCATCTCTTGTTTTCTCTCCTCATATTTTTAGGTTTCATTATCTTCTGATCCACAGATTTTATCTTGCCTCTGCTGTCTTCAGGATTTTCATTTAGATCTTCTACCCATCCTTTTCTTTGTAATAACATTAAAATTATATCTTTCTTGCCTACTTCTTTTCTGGTGCTTATTCTGTTTTCCCCTTTCAAGCGTTTTTTGGAAAAATATGTCTGTAATTGCATGGGAATAAAAGTCGTCAATCTTTTAGGTTCGATTAAGAATTTATGTAGGGTACAGCAGGAGGTTAAGTAGTGCCTTTTCTTTTAAAATGCCATTCTTGCATTCTAATTCATGGTATGAGCATAGCTCAAAATGTGGTTTTAAAGTTTAAATTAATTGCCTAGTTTGATTATTACTTTGCTATGGCAGGAGTTAGATGACTTTCAGAGTGGTGTGGTGTGGTGTGGTGGTTTGGTTTGACATTAGTTAGGTAACTGTAAAATATCTAAGTTTCTCTATATTTCAAATGCAATGTGGAAAAGTAATTATTGTTTTTTAGCATTCCTCATTTCTTCAAAATAATAAAAAGCTACTTAGCAAATCAAGCAATTTAATTGCTACATTATTGTAGATATTGATGTTGTCTTGATAGTTGTGCATCTCACAACATTTCTGTCTGCCTTCAAAGGTTTTTGCCTTTAGACAAAGTCATTTACTGTTCACATCTATGAGTATTTAGATTGAAAAAAAGTCCTACAACTCTGCATCAGGTCAACCAGCCATGAAGGCTAGAGTATGCCTGAATTGTAGGACCTTTTTCTGTGTAAACATGTGTAGGATTGCACTGGTAGTTATGATAGTAAGTGTATGTGGGTTGTCTTTTCCTTTTTCTTCAGTCCTTCCTAGTAACAAAAAACTTCTCTAGACTGAGAGGCCAGACAGTGCAATAGAATCTTGGAGTGTATAACTTCTTTGTCAGTGGGGAAGAAAGGGCAAATAAGCCTTACAATGAAGTGCCTTTCAAACTCTGTTTTTGTTTTGTTTTTTCATCTCAGATGAAGAAGCTGAGAGCAAAGCTAAAGCATTTAAACAGTGAAAGAATTAACAAGCATATTAATTGGCTTTACTTCACTGTGCAAGTAGTAAAATATATAGTTTACTTTTCCCACAGAGATTTTGAACAAAAATAAAAAAGCTAGCTCTAGGCTAACAGAATTTATGTGAACTTATGCTTCATTATAAGACTGCAGTGTTTTTTCTTTAATTGTGTACAAAGAGCATTTTGTAAAGATTTAAAATTTGGAGGCAGATGAAGAAGTGTCTTGCTAACTGCAACAATGGAACTCAAAAGGGATATCTGCCAATAAGAAGCCACAACTTTTCTTTTAAAGCCTTTTGCTGTGTATTTTGGTTTTCCAGGGCAAACATGTACTTGTTACTTTGTTTTTATCCCTGACTCACAGATTGTGCTAAGAACTTTTAGGACTGCTGGAATGATGTCATTTGACATGTTTGCACACCACTACCTGATCAGTCAAGGAGTCAGTACCTGATTTTTATTTAATTTGTTTGGATAGTTATAAACTGTCCTGCATAAAAAAAAGATATCAGTGTGGTAAACAATAAATATAACAAAAAGATCATTGAACCACAAAATGAAGTAAAAGGCAATTAAAATGACAAGCTTAAAATGCCTCAGACAAACAACATTTTTGAATCAGTGCTGAAGTAATTGCCAGTTGCAGGTTTATATGAATTGCTTTGGGTGTTGAAAGTTGTTGATCTCACAAGTATTGGCAGCAAAAGGGAGGGTGCTTGATGCTAGTATCTCGCATAAATATGATTATAACTTCAGTTTGATATAATGACAAATAACCCAAAGTTAGCCCGACAGTTACCATGGCTTCTTGTTGGATTAATTTGGTCACTTACCCCAAAACAGAATTTCTGGATTCTCACATGATGAAACAATGTTAATTGAAAGTGGAGGTAACAGCCCCAGAAGCAGCAAACTCATCGCTTTGCTCATCTGCAGCAATTCCTGTGTTAAACAATCCAGTTGTTGAAGTGTGACATGTGAATCCCACCATATACCATAATATATTAAAAATTTTAATAAATTATTTTTTCCCAAATAACCAAGGGAATTAGATATACTTGAGAACTTTCAGCGGTTGTTGTAAGAAGAAAATATCACAGTTTAGGCTATTACATTATAATGGAGTAATAAATCTAAATTGTGTTTTGATGAAATTGGAGCGTATAGTAGTGCCTTTCAGAGGTAATGAAAGGTAAGGTAATGAAAGTCACTGTATTGAATTTAAGGCACTTCTTGAAGAACTGAACTTGCAAATATTCACAGTCTATTTTCTAGTTGCAATCATTGTGTCCATGTTGGTTTTGCAGCAGTAGGGATATGGAATCATAAACAGATGGATCTAACTCTTGTATGCCTAGTTCTTGTAGACAAAAGGATAAGTATTATTGGAGAATAAAGGTAGATTACTATGTTGTGTTACAATATGAGAATAAGTTAAGCCTAAGAAAAGCAATGCAACCTCAGCCATGGCAAACTTTTAAGTACAACCCAAGGAGAATTAGATATTGGTATTAACTTTTCAATGTCATGCAAACTTCCTGTTTTGTATCCAAAAATTGTTCATGAAGAGATAGGTGTTATAAAGGTTGCAGTCTGCTTTACTCAGACTGTTGTATGTTTGGACAGTACATGGATATTACTGGAGACTTTAAGAATACACATATCTCCCAGTGAAATCAATAGGTCCTAAAAGTATTTGGGCCTATTGTAATAAGTGTTCCTTTTCCTGCTCCCTCCCTTTTTTATATTGTCCTGACAAATTTGAAGTGAATATTTTTTCTTCAGAAGCAGAAATTTGGGGATGCAACCAAATGTTACTATAATTCCTATTAATACTACTTTTTCTGTACTGGCATGCTGAGGTATCAACCTGGTTATTCAGTTATGAAACCCTATTTCAGTCTGTTTTCTTTTATAGTTTGCTTCATGGAGAACCTGTCCTGTTCAAACATGAATGATTTCATTAAAATGGTTTGAATTAACTAAAATACTATTATAATGTGAGTAGTTAGATTAATATCTGTCTTATACCAGAGATTGCACCAAAAGTACTGGGAGAAAAATATAAAAATCAAGTTCTTCAATATATTTTATTTTGTGTGATCACTTGTGTGTAATATGAATAACCATACCCACTACTTTTCCCCATAGTGTTTTCTTCATGAGTGAGCCACTGAAAGATAACTAGTCAATTCTGGGTCCTTCTGATCTGACAATTGAAAATACAAATTAAAACACATTTCTATATTTGAAGTTGCTTATTTGAGTGTTCTTAACTTTCAGATTTTCTGTTTAAATTTTTGGTCATTGGAAACGCTGGGACTGGCAAATCTTGTTTGCTTCATCAATTTATTGAAAAGAAATGTAAGTCCAACCCAAGAAGGGCTATTTTTTTAATTCAGCAAATGTTCTGGTCTGCATTCATTTTTTTTTACCAGAAATTATGGGGGGGCGGTTTAAAATTTAAATAATGTGAGGTTACTCAAAGGTAGTACAACTAAATGTGGTTATGTTCAGTAAAATCCTTTCTGAATTTATGACCAGGTAAGTATGATCCCCCCAAAGCACTTTTTGTGTAGGCATGGGAGGTCATCTGAGATTAATTAATTTCAATTCTTATTAATTAATGTATTGGGTTTTTTAATTCAAATGCTTAAAATAATATCTACCATCTTTTCATTCTGAGTATGGCTGAAATTCATTATCACAGTGTCAGATGAATAGACAGATCAATCAGAATGGCTGTTTATAAGGGTTAAACAGGTCAGGTCACTCGCACCATTTCTAGGTGATTGTGGTAGCAAATTTTGACCCTACTTACAAAGAAAACATGGTAGCCATGCATTTAAGTATGCATGTTGATGGCATGGTCTCAGACCTTTCAGATTACAAACCTTAGTGTCAGATAAGGGTATGAAGTTATATTGTGGTCACAGGGAACTTTGAATAAGGGAATCACCAAGGCCAAATCTGCTAGTAAATTTTGGGAATTGCATTATTAGTGTGTATTAGTAGTTTTGTATATAAGCCATAGTGCAAAAATAGTTACGTAGGGTAATATATCAGCATAATATATCAATATTGACCTACTAGATAATGCATTTCATTTTGATGAATCAAGAAAGTATTCATAGAACGATCATCTTTTTACCCTGGAAAAAGGTGATTCATACAGAATTTTTTGCTGCTTTATGGAAAATACAATCTGTAAACTTACTGCCTTATTTGCTCATTTAATTGAGATAAAACTGTTAACACCTACACTATAATGAGGTTTGGATAACTATTGAAAATGTTAGTATTATTAATAATATAATAAAATATCCTTGAGTACATTAATCATGCTGGAATACTAATTATAGCTTTCTCTATTCTAGTCAAAGATGACTCAAATCATACTATAGGAGTGGAGTTTGGTTCAAAGATAATAAATGTAGGAGGCAAATATGTTAAACTACAGATATGGGATACAGCAGGACAAGAACGATTCAGGTATATCTTTGTGTAAATTAGTATAGAAGTTTGATCGAATGTTGAGGTCAGGAGTTGGCTGAAGCATCATTTAAAGCTGGAGTTAATCAGGGCCTCACTCTTACAGGCCCAAAGGAAATGAGCCAAAGAAACAGGGATCAGGTCTTGCAGGATTTGCAGCTAGATGGTCTCAAGGCACATTCAACAGGAGGAACACCCTTTATAGCTGGATATAGTGACTCAGCTTGCATGTTAACAACCAGCTGTGGGTTGATTAATTAATTGCTTGCTCCTTCTGTCTTACACACTGCTTCCACTTTGCATCTGATTGAGAAAACAGTTCAGGAACATCCCATTCCTGAATTGTTCATCCTGGCAGGTTAAAACTCGGGATTGAGTTCCCCTTCAGCAAACCAGATCCACATTTTGCACTGATGTAAAGAAGAAGTAGCTAGCAGGAAGCAGCACATTTGGTCATTTACAGCCTGGGCAACCCATTTGATGTTATCTGTGATCTGGATCAGTTCGTGCCCCACCCTAATAAGCCAGATGGAAATGATCTGGACAAACAGGAAGCAAGTCTTAAGTTTTACAGCTAGATGTTGAATGTTAAAGAGCAACAATATTTGGAGGGCCACACTTTCCCTGACCCTGCAACACATGCCATGCAGTGATGTTAAGAAAGCATAATACCTGCTCTGTTGTACAATTTTGGCCCTGTGTAAAACATAACTTACTGCCATCTTGCAATACTATGTCTTTTTCCCCCTTTGCAGGTCTGTAACACGAAGCTACTACAGAGGTGCTGCAGGTGCCTTACTTGTTTATGACATCACAAGGTAAAGGGGAAATTGCCATTGTACTCTTAAACAGATAATTCTATTTTGCTCCTCCAGAAGTTATCTTTAGGTGGATATCTACTCTTTTCACAGTTTTTAGGGGACAGATTCATCCTTAGTTGCCTCCACACAGTTCATTAAAGTGTGCTTTGAACCTCATTGCTCTAGAGAGCTAGAACTATCAGGTCCTAGCCTAGGGTTTCTAAGCTTAAGGAATTAACTACTCTTAACACACTGCTAATGATTTGGAATATATGTACCTAAGTTTAGCTATCATTTTCTGAACAAGTGGATATCATGCCACAGAATCTGATTTCCCCTTGTTGAGGGGGTAGCCTCTTTGCTAGTCCATGATCTATCCCACAATATTTACAAGCCATATTTCCTTTCACACATTTATATTCTGTGGTACCAGAAGTAGATTGCTATACATAACACACAGTTGTTTATGATCCTGAACTTGGACTCTTTTACATTATTTGAGGATTCTTGATGCATCAAAGATCTTGAGAGACCAAGACCCAAGTCCATCTCAGGAAAAAAATATTTTAATGGACCATGTTTCCTTTACACCTGAGAATTTTTTCTTGCCATCCTCCTTGAATACCAATGAATTCTGTGCAGAAATTTCATTTTATCAGATCACACTTTCAGTATACACTTCAGTTCCCACAATGCACTAGACAAGGTCCAGAGGTAGGATTAACATGCTCATGTTGCTTGCCTGCTATCTGCTGAGCTCTGCAGACTACCTCCTGCAAAGACTGTAGGTAGTTCACAGCTATGCCCTTCGCTGCTGTGCAAAATTGCAGGCTTCAACACAGACAAGAGAAAGTTCTATAGACCTAGGATACTTTAAAGTATTGTTGCAGGACAGAGGGTGAGGATGTGGTTAATTAATAACTAATATTTTATCCTTTGATTCAGTCGAGAAACCTACAATGCACTTACTAACTGGCTGACAGACGCAAGAATGCTAGCAAGTCAGAACATTGTAATAATACTATGTGGAAACAAAAAGGATCTTGATGGAGATCGAGAAGTCACTTTCTTAGAAGCATCTAGGTTTGCCCAAGAAAATGGTAAACATTTTTTCATGGCTTCTAATGTTTGCATTTGCAATGTATGACTGTGAAAGCTGGACCATAAGGAAGGCTGAGCGCCAAAGGATTGAGGCCTTTGAATTGTGGTGCTGGAGAAGACTCTTGCGAGCCCCTTGGACCGCAAGGTGATCAAACCGGTCAGTCCTAGAGGAGATCTACCCTGACTGCTCTTTAGTAGGCCAGATGCTGAAGATGAAACTCAAATACTTTGGCCACCTAATGAGAAGGAAGGAGTCCCTGGAGAAGAGTCTAATGCTGGGAACAATAGATGGCAAAAGAAGAAGGGGACAGTAGAGGATGAGGTGGCTAGATGGAGTCACTGAGGCAGTTGGTGTGAGCTTAGGTGGACTCCGGGGGATGGTGGAGGACAGGAAGGCCTGGAGGAATGTTGTCCATGGGGTCGCGATGGGTCGGACATAACTTTGTGACTAACAACAACAACGTTTGTATTCGCTAATAGTCAATGTTGAAGACTTTCTCAAGCACTCCTCTCTATTTCTTCTTCCTAACTTTACATATGGACAACAGGAGCTGTAGAGAAATGTAGGAAGTAGTACTACTTGAGCCAGGAAGAAGTCTGTCTGAACTAGATGCCAAGTGTTGGCTATGTTCATAAAATCATAGAAGAGTAGAGTTAGAAGGCCAAAAAGGCCATTTACACCATCCCACCAAGACGTATCTGTTCTGGATTGTGCTTATGAAACATTCCTTTTTCAAAATTCCTTTTAAATCAAAGAGTGGACTGAATTTTCAATCACAGATTTTCAAGGTAAAAATGAGATCTTTGGAAATGGAGCTTTGTGAACCTTGTCCTACCCAATATATCCTTACATTATATTATCTATTCTCAGGTGCTGTTCTGTACAATCTCATGCTCCAGCACCATGTTTTTTAAAATGGTCTTTTTTCTGAGCATTCACATAGGCAGCATGATGTCGTCATATGGTTCCTTATCTTCTGAATGGGTGAAAGGGTAGAGTTCTCAGTGGGCACCATGAAAGGTCTTCAGGAGTGCTATGGTCCTTGTCACCCTATTCCTCTCCATGGTAAATATTGCTGTTAGAGCTCTAACGTGTAGTTGTTAGGTGGTCTCGCATTACAAACAGATCTGGCCAAACTTGACAGGCTGTCAGTCTGAACAGTGATGAAATGTAGTTTATTTTTTCTCTCTGTTGCAGAGTTGATGTTCTTGGAAACAAGTGCACTGACAGGGGAGAATGTTGAAGAAGCCTTTGTCCAGTGTGCAAGAAAAATACTTAATAAAATTGAGTCAGGTAATCAAATATAAGCTTTAAAGACTTAAGCTACCTTCAGCTGTATAGTAGTAGACACTGGAGAGTTTCTGAAATGGTACAGTACTCTCAGGATAGATGCGTTCTTTCATTGTCATGAACTTCTGTTCCAATATTGTCAAATATGTTAATGAAAAAATTATTCAAGTATAAATGAGTCAATTAAGACACTTAAATGGCAAATGTAATAAGCTGTTCTTGTCATGCTGTTGTCTCTGTTGTACTTATTTTTCATTGCAGAAGAGACATGGAACCTCTGCACAAAAAAAGATTCTGTTGTCAGAGAAAATGAATCCTTGAATATAATTCTAGGGAATAATGTAAAAATATTTTGGCAGATTGCAAGAACTTGTCATCTTTCTACATGTGCTATTAGTACTGATCTGCCTAATAACTGAGATAATCTATAGTACTGTAACTCTGAACTGGTTTCTTGAAATTTGTCTGATCTGTAGGTGAACCAGCTTCCCTCAGCCTGTAGCTTCTGACTTCTGCCATCCCTGTGCTCCTGCCTCCTGTGCATCTTTCAGTTAGAGGGAAGAGAGATCACACCACTATGTTAGATTGGGTCATTGAAGATTGCTTAACAGTGTTTAGCAAAAATAAACCCCAAACCCCACAATATTAGAGTTGGAAAGAAAATTATTGTTTCATTAAAAGTAATTATAGTACACCTTTGTGCATTAATTTTTGTAATGTTCAGTAATCTGTAAAAGTTTGACTATAGTGGATATTATGAAAGAATTAGAACATCCTTGAAATATAGGGAAGACATGTGCAATTAATGATTTATGCAAGAATATTTTTGTTTTATCAGGTGAACTGGATCCAGAAAGGATGGGCTCAGGAATTCAATATGGAGATGCTGCATTGAGACAGCTGAGGTCTCCACGAAGAGCACAAGCTCAAAGTGTTCAAGAATGTGGCTGTTAGACACAACGAAGAAACAAAACACTCACTGTAGGAAGAAAGGGTGAGTCTTAGCAGTTTGGAATTGGTAAAGACCAGGTTACATGAAGAAATGATTTAGAAATTATTTTAAGTGAATGTATTTATTTATTACATTTATATCCCTCTTTTTCCCCCTTGCAAATGATTTCAGCACTGCAATATGCATTGGAAAGAAATATACATCAGTATATGAGCCTCAGGAGAGACTTAAAGATCAATCCTATCATTGAACCTTGGGAAGAAACAGACAATTGACTGTTTTGAAAGCCCTGTCAGGCCTTGCTCCCTTTTCAGATGCTTTTCTGTTGCTTCCATTGCCCTGGAACTGACTTAGATATGCTGACAGTTTGAGGGCATGTTTAGTCCTCTGACATAGTCAAGGAACCTTTGCAAGTATTAGAGTTCCAAAGGGAAGACCATGAAGTTTTGGAGGTCTGGTCTCATATACCAAACCTGGATCCCATTCCTTCTCTCTCTCCCTTTCTCTCTCTCTCTCCTTAGAAAAAGGAGGTCTGAATCAAGGATCGCGGTCTTAATTTTTATTGCATGTATATGCTGCCTTTCATCAAGCATGTGCCCAAGGTAGCTAACAATAAAATATTTTAAAACTAAAGATATTGTAATATAAAACCACAGATAAATACTAGTCAATAAGACTGGCTAAGTAAAACCAACACACAAAAGACACACACTTGAACATGAGTGCAGTGTGATCACAATACTCATTCTTTTCCATAAAGCAGTGCAAATGCTTCACCTCCACCACTGCAACCTTTTTATCCTCCACCACTTGGGAGTTAGGTGGGTTAGACTGAGAGATGATGAGTAGCCTGAGGTCATTCACCTTTTGAACTTCATGGCTGAGTAGACTTGAACCCAAGTTGGATCTTGCATTTTTATCTCCTCTTAATACAAGTTGTTTTTCTACTGACTGATTCTACTAGACAATCGTTATAATTCTTGGCTATTCTTTTGATTACCAGGTGAGTTGTTAATGTCAAGGCTGCCTTATCTGGAACTAGTAGCTTGAATTAGATCATTTAATGCACAGCTTTAAAATCACTGAGTCTGTTACAAAATATTTAATGTGTTTCCAAACAACAGAGCATCCATATTTCTTGTACTGCATTATGCCAACAAAATCTAGTCAAATTGTGGAAAAGTTGCTTCTGTGGCAAGAATCTGTTAGCTTTGTCAGATCTACGAGATTAACTTGGAATGCTTTAGAGGAACAATCAATGGCACCTGTGGAGGGGTCGCCCTGCTGGGACCCCAAAACATGAAAAATTATTCCATTTTAGATTTACATACATTGATTTGTATGAAATTTATCCAACTTTCTAGAGGTTATAAATAGCCTTCAACAAATAAATACCCATGTGAAGTTGCCATCAGTTCATGTATTAAAAGTGTTGTAACCTGCCTAGAGAGCTTCAGCTGTTGAGCAGAACAGAAGTTAAATAGATAAAGTATGCATATAAAAAGGGCAAGGCTAGCAATTGTGCTCAAGTTTATATATGCATTCACAAGTACATGTTTGATTTAAAGGTTTGATTAGAGCTGCTGGAATAGTATAAGGCACATGGGCTTGGTTTGCACATACCACTGGTTTCAGACTTGTGTTAATTTAAAATGGAAAAAAAATTCCAACATGTTTCCTTTGGTGTTAGTGGAACAAAGGACAAATGGGAAAAAATGGCATGTATATGATCTTGTGAACATTTGCAAACCATTTTTCCCTGCATCTTGGAAGATTAACTTAATCCTGTGTTTTTACTAAGATATACCGTATTTTTCTATGTATAAGACACCCCCATGTATAGGATGCCCCCCACTTTTCTCCAAGTGAGCAAGCTGCTGCCACGCGCACGCACCCGCGCCAGTCTCTCCCCTGCAAGTGCACCCGCCCTGCCCCTGCCTGCCGCTCCCCGAGCATGCCCTTGATTGCACCAGTCTCCTCCCCCAGCACTCCTGCACCCGCCTCCCTCGCAGCGCACCCCTGATCGTGCCCGTCCCCCCCCCCCCCCCGGCCTGCCTGTAGTCCTCCTCTTGGCCCCCCGTGTATAAGACATCCCTCCATTTTTAGGTAAATATTTTTAAGAAAAAGTATCATCTTATGCAAATATGGTAAGTATGACTGTGTTTAGTGGGACATACACAATAAGAGTGCAGAGTTTTGCAGCCAAAATTTCTCAACATCAAATGCTGTGTTTTTCAGCTGTCCTTACAAATGATGTTAAATGAATCAACTGCCATAGCTTCAAGACTCTGCATCTGTAGAACTCCTTTTTGATTGAACAAAGCAGACCATATTGGTTTTTTCTTTTTTTTAAAGTACTGTTGAGTGGCTTCCAGAAGTGTGCATTTCACACTGCAAGACTGCAAAAAGAAAATCTGGTAATTCGGTGGACATTACTAAGACTAAAATACCTGTATGTAAATGTTTTCAGTTGAGTATTCTTGTTCATTACCTCCAGTTTCAACATTACTGTATCATGTGTACATAAAATATCACCATTAAATCTCCAAAGCATGATATACTGATACAATATTGCACTAACAGCTGTTTGTTTTTTAAATGACTAAAATTTTAAGGGCAATAGGCTTTATCATGTTTTGGGTTTGTTTTTTGTACAATAGCTTCTATTTATGAGTTGACATTGAATGCTACTGGCATTGACTGTCAGTGATTTATTTGCCACATTCTACAAGGTGCTTACACAATTTATTTTTTGGAAAACAGGTCATAAGTTTAATCTGCCATGTTGAAAAAAATATTTTTTTTTACTGAAGCATAGCTGTCCTGATTCTTGACAGTTGTTAAATGTATTTCAGTCACTTTGTTAAACATGGGCTAAAAATGCAGGTATAAACTCTGAGAGCTTACTGCTGTCTAATCTTGCCTTGAGGAAGTCCTATTTTCTACATCCTAGATTGTAACCAAGATTGTATGTTTTGGGTAAAAATAATGCCTACTTGTTTGCCATTCTAGAGCAGTGTTTGAAGTGATCCACAATTATCTGATTTTTTTAATTAAAGTAATTTCTATATGTAAGACTCTGTTCAGGTTATGCTCCTCTATAAAGAAGCACTCTGTTCTAAAAAGAATTGAAACTAGAAGAAAACTGCCTCAAAATCTACAATATTTACACAGTGCAGTCAGCTTCAATAACTCTGTAATCTAGAAATGCAACACAGTAAATGGCAGCAATTAGTCAAACTTTAAAATGTTATATATGGACTTGGTAAAACTGTACAAAGATCCATTTTCATACAGATCTTCCCACATTACTAAAACAGAAACTCTTCTGTTTTCATAGTATCTTTTTAAGATATTGAGAACTACATAGGGTCACTGAAAATACAAAACTTCATCTTTGCTGGAATAGTTGTATTTATAGAATGACCTTGGCTTTTTACAAACTTTCCTGATACCTTAAAGAAATTTAGGGAGTATTATGGCTCTGAATGAACAGTTCTGGAACATGGAAACACAAAGGATGCATATAGGATTTCTTAGTGAACTGAGATGTCAGCATGGCTGTTTGAGCGAGGAAAAGGTCCTTGTATTTTATTCTATTTTATTGCTAAAGATAATCATCACTGAATGTATTTGGTTGGATCCAAACAAAAGGATTGTTTTATGATCCAATATGAATTCCATTGGCTTAAGGCCAAAGTAGAAAACATTGACCGCTTACTTGCTTGAAATGCAACTGCAGTAAGCCTATGAATTTGATTAGAGCTGTAAACAATATTTCCAATTAAAATGCTGCTGCATCCCAAGCCGGGGTGGTTTCACACCCTTGAAGGAGAATAATGTAATTAGAGGGCAGGCAGGATGGCCTGAAAGGAAACAGTTAATTACCTTTTATTTAACACAGCTGCCCTGAATTACAGGTATTAAATAAATGTATGCTGCTTTTCTGCAGCATACAGTGATCATGCAGTCCCTAAGAGCTATAGAATATGGCAGATCTTGCCGTTCTGAGCTCAAAGACAATGCTATGCTATTGGCAGAGAAATCTCAGATCAAACTGTTTCCACCACCCTCTTGCAGTCACTGTGGAAAATGAGAGAGTTGTCTCATTAAAACTGTAACGAGGAACAGGAGGTGTTTTCAACTCTCTCCTCCTCTGGCCTTGCTTGGGTCTTGCTGGTAAGCACAGCATAGACGGGGTGCTCTGACTGAGGAGCTCTTTGTCGGTTAAACAGTCAGTTTCTCAGGATTACACTCGGACAGTTTTAGATAATATAAGAGCATTTAGGGCACAATCCTCTCATTTCCACCCTTGATATATGTAAGCTTTCAGACACAGAGGCTTATGTGCATCCTGTGCTTGAATGAGATTCAATGACAGTGGCAATGCCTGCTACGCCTATCTAGACAAAGTGCCACCAAGGGAATGAGACTGGGATGCTGTCAGGAATTGGCATAAATCCTTCCCTTCCCCTGGAACATCCCCTTTTCTCCCCTCCAACATGTAACCACAAGGAGGTAACCACAAGGAGGTAGCTGTCTGGCATGTTGCTTTTCATGCTGGCAGTGAGGGGGTGGGCCAGGGGCTGAGCCTTTGGACCTGAACTCTGCAAAATCCTATGACCTCCCACACAATGTTGAGAAGCCATAGGATTACATTTTTCATAAGCCATTAAAACAATATCAAGCCCTTGAACAGCAGACTCACATAATAAAGTCCATTATGTTGCATTTAAAACATTTTAGATTCTGCAAAATCACACTGATTTTAAAATCAACTAGCACAACTAAATTAAACTGAATGCCAAACTGACTTTGCCTGGCACCTGCAAGAAAATAATGGATGCACCAGACAGGTCTCTCTTGGGAAGGTGTTCAAAGTCAAGGTGCAACCACAGATAAGGCCCTCTGGTACCAAGCTGCCCAACTTCCATTGGCAGGGGAATCCAGAGGAGGGGCTTAATTGCTGGACAGTTTCATACAGGAGCGAGCAGTCCTTCAAATTTACAGCCTCTCTGGTTGCTTTTCAGGAAATACCTCATGATTTTTTGGAGAGTTAGTGAATTTGGATCCTTCATAGTATTCAATCTTTAATCTTGACATTTTTGTAGGTTTTGCCATCTTTTTATCTTGTCAGGGTGAGTAAATTATGGAGGTTGCAGACAAGTTACTCATTAGAGCACAAAATAAATACTGGAGTACATTTGTGGTAAAAACCTTCACTTGAAGGGGATGATTCATTTGAAAGTCAATATCCAGTAATAAAGTAATACTGACACAATACAGTTAGCTGTACTTGGAAAAAAGTACATTTTCTGATAGACATCAGTCTAAAGTATAGCAATGAAAAGTGTCTGGCATGCAGTGTCTGTGTTGTATATTTGGTTTATAGCATGGATATACAAGGTACTCCGCATGGATGTCTTATGGTTCAGAAGTGCTTTCAATAAGGAATATTCTTGTGTGTGTGGTGTTTTCTTATTGTGTACTTTCTAATGCTACTAATGTCATAAAAAATTCCAAAGAAGTTTGGTAGGTAAGTATCCACCTAGAGACTGACTTCAAGCTAGTTTACTACATATCACTTGAAACTCTTTCCCTCCCTCTACAGCTTCACAATTATTGTATTGCCATATTTTCTTCAAAAAAGTGAAGGGAATAATGGAAAAAGGAGGTGTTAGTAATAAAAATAGGAACTTACTCTGTAGTCTTCCTACACTCTGCTGGGGCAATTGGTTTTGTTTTGAAATACCCATTCCTTTTCATCATCTATACATGGGATGGACAATTTGTGATCCATTGGATTTTAGGATCTGCAGCTGCCATCATTCCTTGCCATTGGCTGTGCTGTTTAGGGCTGATGGGAGTGCCACAAGTTGTATGTCCCGTGCAAAGTTGTTAAACACCATAGAGCTCTCAGTCTTAAACGGTGTGTTCATTAGGAAATGGAACTGCCATACAGTTCTGATAAATGCGAGAGGCTTAGTTAAAACAGGACTGATACAGTACTGCACAGAAACTGGTGGTCTTCCCTGTTGCTAGCACTCTTCCACAGGGTTGGGAGTTAGGGCATCTTGCCTTATGGCTTGTACAGGTGTGTTTTCATTGTGCACATGTTCTTTTTGAGGAAGTCCTCCTTCCTTTAGCTCACCCATTTTTTTCCAATTTGTCAAAATAAACAAGGCACAAGAACTTGTCTTACTACTTGTTTTCCCCAAATTAATGCACAAAATGTTTTTTCACAAACTCTACACCTTTGACATGGGGGGGGGGGAGGACCTAAGCAGGATGTTACATTTCTCTCCATCTGCTAGTACACTAATCATTTGATGGGTTTGCACAATCATTTGCAGCCATGCTGACTTAAATAAGTCACTGAGATTTTTGGGCACCTATTCTGTGACCTATCCCCAGTTTATAACCTGCCATGTTGTCTGAGTTTCTGGAGAGAGTGTTGATGAAATTATGAATCAACCACCCAGATCCCAAGGACTGTTTTAGGTTTCTGGGTGGTCTGTTAACCATGCCAATAAGCCTTACCATGTTCAAACCACATAAAGGAGGGTTGTGTTATGGAATGGGCACTTGGCACGTCCCACAAGCCACAGTGGCTGAAAACAGTTGTGCAAATTGCATCATTTCCTCTATGTCAATGTGTGAAAAAGCAGGCAGATCTGTTCATTTTTATATGCAGGCAATACTTGTCCATTAATCACCTTAAGTGCAGGGGTGGGGGTCATCTCCATGGAAAGACTGGGTATGAGTGTTATCTCTTCTCATGCCCTTTGATTTCCCCTACTGCTCCCTCTCACTTTTCCCCATAACTGGACTTCTCTGAAGCTTGGTTCAGCTCCAGGTGGGGATCACAGAAAGGAGAAAATTAACTGGGGAAAGAATTTCTTCTGCATATGCATTCCTCCCCTGCATTAGTGTTTGAAGAAAACACAGGGTTAGGAACCCTATGTTTCCCATGCAGTATATTGTTCTCCCATCAGAGCTCTAAAAATTGCAGCTGCAGTCCAGTACAGCATTGTTACATGCACTGGAGTACTGTAATTTTTAGTATGATTCAAGTATGTGAGATTGCTGTCTATATTGGCTTGGTTCCACAGGAACTCCAGGAGCTTAAGGAGCATTATTCCAGATGAGACTCAAGACAGTATGTACTTGCTCTTGGCATTTAACTGTTCTAAAAATAAAAGTGCATTTACATAGTATTAGTATACATTAACAAACTTAAAAGTGCATGATTTCTATATTGTAAAGATTCTACTATGCTGCTTAATGTCATCAGAGAAATGTTACTCAAAGAACTGAAATAAAAGGTTTATTTAAATGTATTAAATGCAGGTTTCTTAAAAACCACTCAGCAAGCTTGGGAAAGGTGTGGGTGAAGGGGATAAGGAGTTAACACTCTCTGGCAGAGCAGCCTTTTCACACAGCTACTCTAAGTTAGCACATCCAATGTGCAACATTAAACTGTAGCTTTACCAAACCACAATTCTTAATTTAATGACATGCGCTGAACAGCCATATAGAGGAAGTATGCACACACATTCATGGTTTGATAGCCCAAAGTAGCATGGCAAAACTTGAGTGTCTTCAAGACACGCACATGAAATCTTTATGTGTGTATAATTGGATTTAGTTTTTGAGGGACTTTAAGTGAATTTGTTATGGCAAATGTCTGTTTTATAAATGCTTTGGTTCTACCCAAGTTATTTCTAGATGGTAATAATTGGATTTCTTTCTCACACTGAATAATCTGGAGTCCAGCTGTACAATATTTAGAAAGCATGTCCTCTTAATGGGGTGAGGAAGACGACCCAGCTATAAGCTATAGGGAACTGGAGAAGTATATCTGTTCTCCAGGGAAATGCAAGCAAAAGTTACCATAAAGTGTCCATTGGCATGGTAGCATGTGCTTGCAAACAACAGTGACAAACACTTATTTGCCTGGGCTGCTGCCAGTGACCGTTGCCCAGTGATATCCAAGTAACACAGCAAAGTGGTCATTACTGGCTTGATGACGGAGCCTTTTTACGCTCACTGTGACATTTCCACCTTTTTTCCTCCGCAAGATTGCTCTTAGCAATTTCCAAGTGACAAGCCCTCCAAACTGTCCAAGCAGCACATTTGAGAGTCGTTACCTGGCCCTTCCTTCTGGACATGTGTGCAATCCAAATACACACAAACATTTTTTTGCTGATCAGATTTGCAGACAATACTAAAATGGGGGCAGTGGCCACAACTGAGGAGCAGGTACTCCAGATCCAAAAGGATCTGGGTACACTATGGAAGTGAGTGGGGGACAACAGGATGGCGTTCAATGTGGACAAGTGCAAGGTCTTGCACTTGGTGTCATAAGTACAGGTTAGGTGACAATTGGCTGGAGAGCAGCACTTGTGAAAGGGACGTCGGGGTGCTGGTTGACTGCAGGCTAAACATGAGTCAGCAATGTGACGCGGTGGTCAAGAGGGCAAATGCCACCCTTGGTTGCATAGTCAGAAGCATGGCTTCTAGATCGAGAGAGGTATTACTGCCACTCTATACCACTCTGGTGTGCCTGCAACCCATGAAACTTATTTCAAGAGAACTTCAGTTAAATATATTATTATTATTATTATTATTATTATTATTATTATTATTATTATTATTATAGCATTTCTATGCCGCCCCTTGCCGAAACCTCGGGGCCATATATCCATCACGGCCGATCAAGAAATTGTCAAGCTGTTTTTTTAATCAGTTTTATTCACATATACAAATTGAGGGCAAGTACAATTAAATAGAAATAACACAAAAAATAGAAAAAACAAATACTAGTCAAAAAACATTCTAAGTCACATATTGCTTCAAGCTTAATTTTGTCCAAGCTTTGCTCTAAAGTGATTTCAGTGCTCAGCTGCTGAGTGAGGCAGCTTCCCTGTTCCTCTGATTTCAACCCCTTTTCCTTACAGGGCAATATGTTGGTGCAGAGATTGACCAAGTTCATGGCTTTGCTGGCAGTTGTCTCTTGGTCACAAGTACCTAGGCCTAAACAGCCCGGTTCAAAGAAGTCAGTCTAGCTTGGTACAGTCACTACCCTATTACAAATATATATTTCAAGGTAGCACACCAACATCTTGGTTCAGCTAACCCCAACTCTTAACCTAGCATGTAGGGAGGAATGTAAACATGTGTCCTACTAACACAAGCTAGTAGATATTTGTATGCTCTGCCTTAACCATGGTGTAACCCGCATAGTACTTTGTGTGTACAGATGGAAGCACCTGGAAGCCATCTTATAGTGCCAGTTTGGTATGGATATAATTCTCAGTAGATTAAAGTGAATTGTATCTATTGCTTAAAATTAGTGGTTCTTAACAAGTGGGGCAAATACCCCAACAAGTGCATGGCAGCTGATGGGAAAAGAGGGAGCATGCAGGTTGGAAAATCCTGCAGCAGTTTGAACCACAGCCATTATTCCACAAAGGAGCAGAGGTTCAGCAGAACAAGCACCAGGACTGCTGTACCTGCCACAAAGGTGCAGAGGACAGGGACCAGGAGAGAACACCTGGTCACATTATCTCTTCTTCATAATTGCCCATTTCAGAGCAGAGCTAAGTTACTTGAGTTTGATCCCCTCAGTGCCTGTGTTGGAGTAGTGCCCTGGGCCATACATCCTTACCTATATATCAGCAAGGTGTTGACTGGCAATAGGTAAGGGGGCTCAAACAGTTTTAAAAGCTTCCCCTCCCCAACCAAGGGGTTTCAAGAAAAATGGGGGGGGGGTGACAGATCCCAATATAACAATCAGCCAGGGAAATTAAGAAATCAGTGCCTTCACTACTAACAGTTGCTACTAAAGTTACTTGATTGTGGCATGAGGAACACATGTCAAGCACACCTACAAAAGCATAGTTCTGTATTGCACAATGTTGCCCTACAATGCTTGAACATCAGTACATGAATTTGATAAACTATATGCCAAATTTGAATCGCAGGATACATTCTTTGACTACTGGAACTGTCATTTGCATTTCAGTGTTTCATGCATTGTACACTAAGCTATTTGTCAGATTTAGCAAAGAGAGAGGAATGACAAATGTATAATACAACTCTCCTGAAGTGTAGACAAGGAGAGAGAGACCATTAAAAAGTATTGTTATTCATGACAGTATCCTTATTTTAAGTTTGATTTAAACAAAAATATTCCCATAATTGGAAAGTTGAAACAATTCAAAATGTAAGATTTTTGCTACTCTTTTAGCAACCACCTCTCTAGATGGGGCAAACACCCATCTAGAGATGGCTGTTAGGATGGTTCTTCCCATTGCCTGCTAATTTTGTCATTAATTAGGATGCTCCATCTCCAATACCACACTGCCCAACTGGGGTGGGACTGATGAGGGGAGAAAAGTATCAGTGAAAGTTAGATATGCTTTCTTTAAGAACCTCTTTGCCCATTCAAACACATAAGCAAGTGTTTCATATGCAAAGGGAGAAAAAATACTTACGTGCTCCTATGCATGTTAGCAGAAATATAGATCACTTTTTTAAAATCTTACCTGTTACTCCTCTCCAAACATATGAAAGAATTTGCTGAAGACAACAGATGTAGAATTTGGATCCTCCAATACTACAGTCAATACAAAAGGATCCTCCAATACAGCAGTCAGGAAACTTCCATGGAGCTGAGGTGGGCAGGACATACAACAGCAATGTCTCTAGATTTAATTTGGATAGCACACACATCCTCCATCCAGTAAGCAATCCTAAACAATAATTTAGCTAAGACTTGTAACTGCTGCATTCTGAGAAGTTAATCCATTCTTTCCCTGCCCAGTCACCATTACATGACTACTGAAGAGTTTTCACTGAGTTTTGACTTCAGAGAATATTGCAAATCACCCATGCATTAGGAGATTATGCAGTTTTGGTTACATAGATGGTTGCACTTCTTTGTAAATACCAAAAATAAAAGGAATTATCCATCCTCTAAGTAGAAATGAGCCACAGCTCCCATCAGCCCTAGCTGACATAAACAAGGATAAGGGACAATGGGAGCTGTAAGCCAAAATGCCTGGCCACAAGTTGCTCTCCCCTGAGTTAAAGCCATGTACGATTAACGTTCCTTAATGCTGTAAACTTAGAGCAAGGAACATGAAAAGCTAAGGAAACAAGGGACTAGAACGCCAGCAAAAAGCACAAGTAAAAAGCATTTATAGTTAGTAGGAAAAACTGAAAGCTGAAATCAATGCAGGGCTAAAAACCACTTACCACAAGGCTAAAAGACACAAGCTGACACTGGTTAACTGCAGTTTGATAGTATCTGGTATGCCCTTCAGAAGGAAAGGCTACATTCCATCTTGTAACTGTTTCGCAAGAGTTACTGAAAATTTAATGATGGAGATGAATGCAGCTGCACAGAGGTTACTCACAAGCATGTCATTACTGAAACCAACACCAAGGAGGCAATTAATGTAGCCAAAAAGTTGTTTAGGCACCCTGATAACCACCAGTTCAAAGCTTGACATTAAAAGGGGCAGCAGTCTCACAATATGTGATACAAATTCTTTAACTGTAACCAGCTTGTTTAGTTCTGATTGCCAATGGCTTCTTCCACTGAATTACACAAACTCACTTGGGTGGAGGGCGAGATGGGCATGGACATCTTACACACTCAAGAAATATAGCAACATTTGCCCTATCGACCTGAGTCCTGAACATACTTTATGGAATGTACACTAGCTTGATCAAACTTGTAGAAGACTGAAAGGATTCAGTGTACAAACATTCGTAAAATTTCACTATGCAGAAGTTTATCTAACAAAGCTGTTTACAAAACTTATTTTGGTTTACCCAGATGAAACATGGAAAGAAAATTCCATTCCCAGTTCAGCTGCATCAAGTCCATATTACTTACTGCAAAGTACAAAGCAAAACTCCACTAGTTAATGATTGTCTATATCCATTATTTGGTATGAGTTCATAAGAGCAAATTAACAGTGTTTAAAAATACAATTGAAACACATTACTAATCTATTGCACCAAAATCTTCCATTCCAGATGGCCAGAAAATCCACAACTGGAATGCAATCTGGAACAAGTCACTATAAAAATTTACCAAAAGTTGGGGAGAATTTTTAGAGTTCTAAAATTGCCCCTAAAGATTCCAGCTACATCTTCCTTTACAGATAGATGTGCAAATGCCTCTGTATTTAGGCACACCGGACCTGCACAGCTACTGACCTGCAATGCCAAGCAGGTGGCAACCCACTGGTTTTGCAATCACAGGAAGAAAAAAAGGCAGGTGGTTTATTTAACCCACAGTGAGCCTCCATAAAGGTTTGGTAAGGGGCATTTGGCTTGATAGATCACAAGTTGTGCAGACCCGATGCAAGATAAAATCAGAATGGCACCTACATCCTTCCGTAAAGGATTTTTACAGCAACCCGATTTGTAAGGTTTCATGGACCTCAATATAGAAAAGTTTAGACTAGATTTAACTAACTCTCAATCCATCTTAAGGGCAACCAATGCCCTGCTGGTCACATCAAATTTAGTTATCAAGGAGGGACTAAATTTCTGCCAAGAAACCTTTGGGGGTTTTTAGAGAAAAGGCTCCTTCTGTACAACCTTCTAACAGCTTTTCAGCTGAAAAGCTCTTAGCTTTTCAACAGAAATCTCTCAACATGGCTATTCCTAAAGAAGGTGTACAGAAACTATACAGGCAAATCTAGTTCCCAACAGCATGACCCCAATTGTTCCCTCGGCTGCGGCAATAAGTAGCCAAAATAGAAATAAGTGTAATAAATAGCTGGAAAAATCCTTTTGTAAAAATTTTGCATAAGTAATTTGAAGTTTCACTCCAATGTCCCAGTTGTTTTCCAACATCATTTCTGAATTTAAAAAAGGCAAGTCCAATCAAGTTTTGAATCACCGAGCTCGTGCTGAATAACACCTCATATATTCAGTCATCCAGGGGTTGTCTGGACCAGAAGGCTTTGCTTTCCAGCTTCTCTCTACTTCTGCTGTGTGAATCCGTCTCTGTGCCAGCTTCCTTTTTTCCATTTGCCTCCTGTTCTTTGCTCTTATTGCAGACTCATGAATCTGATGGAGATAGTTAAGTGTCAGTTGATTTTATAGAACAGATAGCTCCCTAGTTATGAATGAATAGCCCAGGTCAAGATTTTGTATTAGTACAGTCTTTTCACTGGTAAGATCTAGCTACAATTTCCATCCCTCTACCCAGCCAGTCATTGTTGTGTTGGTTGGGGGGGACTGTTTAAAGATTTAAAACCAGATCACTTCTACAGCATTCTGCAGTTGCTCCCCAAGAAGGGCCATAGGTCAGTGTTAGCACCAGCTCTGCATACCAGATGTCCTACTTTCAATCCCCAGCATTACACATAGGACCAAAAGAACCCCAGACTGAAACCCTGGAGAACTGCTGCTAATCAGTGCAAGCAATCCTGGGCTTTGATGCAGTGTAAGGTGGCTTCCTATATTCCTGTTACTGAGATATGGGCAAAATATGTGGCACAGCAATATCCTGGTTTTGTTACTTTGTGCTTAATTTACCTGTGAACTTATCCACAGCTATGGCTATACCAGGCTAATATTTATTGGCATTGCCAGATTGCCCCACCTCATCTGCTTGCAGTGTAAGATAGTCAAAAGCACTTGTGATAGAAACCCTCTCAACTTCTGACATGATCATTTTAGCTAAACAATGTATAGCTCCAACCATGTCTTCTACAAAGGAATGACCCCAGCTGGATTAATATCAGTGGAGATTGATTAATTTTATACACACTGAGAGACACACAATATAATTTCATAGGACAGGAAATGGTTTTGGAAAGATTATGTACTAATTCTTAAATTTTAAAATGTACTTCTAGAAAGGGAGGAGTATTAGAACAGCCTACTCTTTTTGTATTTTACACATTACATGTCAGCAATGGTGCTAGTGTTTTAAAAACGTGCATGCTTCTTTATTCTCCCACAAAGTGGGGGAAATTAAGAAATCCAACAAGAAAGAAGCAGACTTCCCTGAGAAGCATAAGCATTTTTCTATGTCTGGACCAGCTTCCTACACACTCGACTACTGGACAAGAAAATGACATGTTTCCTTTGCCAAGCAGTGCAATCGTGCTGTCCTTCTAAAGCAAATCATCATTGCCATGAGCCTCTTGTTAAAAAATACCATCCTTGTAAGAGAAAAGATACCCTTCGGCAACACCAGTCCTGTAGTTGAGAGTGTAACTCCATTCTAGAAAAATCTAGCCATAAGTACCCAAAGCTTGAGCCAGTTACTCTGTGCAGGCCTCAGTTCTTTGGTTCAGGTAAAATGGGGCCTGTTCTAGGCAGCAATGGACGAATGCAGTTGCTTGCCTCTCAAGGGAGTTGTGCTGACAGCCAATCCAAACAGGCCAGTTATTTTCTCCATTGCTAGCAACTGCTCTCATCCCATACATTTAAGCCTAATCTCAGTCATGGTTTCAGGTGAACATGTTCTTAACTGGAAAGGGCTAGCTAGTTTTGTCCCTGTATTACAAGCAAGAAGTGCAATGTTTGCATTAAATGGCTATTTTCACATGGCCAGAAATGGCTCTTAAATATACACACAGTCATTCCTATTTAGAAGAGGGATGGGCTACCTCAGGCCTTGGCCTAACCCAAGTTCCACAGATCCCCACACATCCTTTCCTTGGCCCCACCTCCTCCCTCAACTGTCAATTATTTTGAGGGTTCCAGCTTTTGTGTAGCCTTTCCCACAGCCCAGTACTAAAAGGCAGAAATGCCTCTTCTAAGGATTACTTACTTGCAGTGAGAACTTTGAGCTCAAATATGCTAGGATTTATGGCTCCACCTCTTTGCCTTTGGTCCTGCCCCCTTTGCCTTCAGACCCACTGAGAGGGGTTGAGAGCTTCTCTAGCGTGATATTCAGACCTTCACTATAGGTACTTCTACTTCCATTCTTGAAGTAAGTAGGGGTTTTAGAAAGGTAAATTCTATAATGTTTGGGTTATACTATCTTAATATGCCAAGGCATTAGTCTTGTTTATGCACACTGTGCCTTTATGCAAGCTGGCAAGCAAGCCAAGTAAGTTATCAAAACCAGATAAACAACAGCTTGAGAATATCAGGGTATCAAACTCACTTCAAACAGTGGTTCAATAAACCAGTTTGTTCCAAACTCATTAACCATCATTTCCTGTTATCTGAAATAGAAAACAGTAACGGGGTTTCTTGGTTTGTCCACCGGCTCATGTAAAGGGAGGAACAAAGGGTCTCTGTGCTCTGAGCTACTGGAGTGTTCATATTTCAGTTTATTAAGCCAAGATATGGTCACCTGTCAGAAACCATTGTTCAGTTATTCATGTGCATGTACAAAAACATCCATGAAGGTGAGGCATAGATACCATTTCTTTGACTTGCTCCTATTCATTCATAAAGACATTAGGAAATTCACTCCAACTTAATGCCAATGAAAATGACCGCAGTTTTCCTGATTTCAATAGATTAAGCCAGCATGAATCCAGGCATGGAGATTTAACTAGTATATGACATGACTTTTTGTTTCTATGATCCTTTCAGCCGTATTTTGAGAAGGCTGTCAAAAGTACAGAAACCAACTTTTAAAGGTTGAATCTAACAGTTTGTAGGTCAGCAGAACCGTAACTTACACGTTCTCCGTGTCACTCAAGCTCCAGAAGCCTACCATGATGTAGTCACCAGTACTTCAACCTTTTGTGTCATTCCTAAAAATTTAGCTCACTCTGTCTTGGGACCTTTGATGCTAACTGCCTGTTTTATACAGCTTACTCTCTCTGATAGGATTCCTAGCACCGAGACTTCCTTCCACAGCAGCACTGAAATGGCAGCCAGAAAAAAAAAGTTGCATTAAATCAGAGTTAGCAATCCTGTTTGAAGCAACTAGTAAAAGCAAGGCTGGCAAACATTCTCTTCGGGACTACACTGCAGCATCTCGGTGCCAGCATCACAGTTTGTTATGATTGGCACAGATACATACTTTGTTCTAAACCGCCCAGATAGAAAGGAAATTAATAATACTTACCAAAAGATTGACTACTATCCATTGTAAACATACACAGAGATAAACTACAAACGCCATCCTAACAAGAGTACCCACAACTAGTGTCCCATTCATTTTATACTTGCACACTAGAGAACAGGCCTGGCCCAGGAAAATTTGCATGCCCCACCCAAAGCAGCTGCCTTATGGCAAGGCCAGTCCTGCATGGAGCTCAGCCCACTACCTTGGACACTGGCCAAGGACACAAGGACCTTAATCCTAGCAGCAGACACAACAATAGAAGAGCAACTGTGCAGGATCAGGCCAAGGGTCCATCTAATCGAGCCTTCTAGAAACCACCAGCTGCTGATGGGAAATCCACAAGCAGGACATGAGTGCAACTGCACCCTCCCATCCATGTCCCCCAGCAACTGGTGGACAGAGGCAAGCTGGTTCTGATATCGTAGGAAGCTTAGAGCCCTTAGGACTAACAGCCATTGATCACTTTCTTCTCCATGAATTTGCTCAGTCCTTTTTAAAAGTCAGCCAAGCAAAGCCGTCCTTCACTACATCTTGTGAAAGCCAATTCCATCATTTAACTATGGGCTGTGTAAAGAGGTGCTTCCTTTTGCCTGTCCTGACTCTCCCACCAACCAGCTTTAGGGGGTTACCCTAGGTTATGAGTGAGGGGGGAAATGCCTCCCTGCCTGTCCACTTTCTCACAAAAGGTGGTGATTACCTAAAAAACACAGCAGCAGAATGAAGAGCAGCAACAGATTGGGGACAGTGGGTGTAAGAGGGCCAGATAAGGATGCTCTCTGATTCTCTGCTCTCAGGCAAGGGCACAGCAGCTAAGCAAGCTCAGTGCACAGCTCAAACAAGGCAGCCCAACTACAGAGGCAAATGAGGCATTATAAATGCCTGCCTGCCTGCCTGCCTTAGTGGGGGGGAGGGGGGGTTGCCTGCGCTTCTGGAGGACTTGCACAGAGGCAGCTGACAGCTGACTGGTTCCCTTGCATTATGGGAGAGACTATCAGAAACTTTCTGGTCCGTCTGGCTGCCCAGAGAGCAGACAGTTCTAAAAGACAGGAAGCAGGAGATGCTTCGTGGAAGGCAGTGGAAATAGCTCATTTAATTCGTGATCATTGTCATGTCCTATGGTTTTCTTGCCCAGTATATGATGACACAACAGCAGGGGGCCTTGGCCAGCAAACATACTTGGACTGGTCTTGGAAGAAGAGGGGGGTGATTATAGGGGAGCTCAAAAGAGGCTTCACCAGAGATATCTTGAGGGCAACCATTTAGACAGCAACTCGGATGCAAAGATTTAAGCAGGCTTACTTCATTCACTGAGGCAGATGCACAGACATTATGTGTTTTCTGGCTGCCTGTATCAGTCTGTTTTTCTCCCCAGCCATACAGGGCAAATGGGTGTTTCAACCCCTTTGACAGGTCTGTCCTTTGAGGACTCTTCGCTCGTCTCCTTTCACCTTGGGTGCCCGAGGCAGTGCGATTCAAAGGCGGCTCTCGCTGATGACCGACCGCATTGCTGGTTCCTTTCTCTGCAGACTTTGTTTCATCTCTCTCTACTTTACCCTTCTTGTCCGTTTTTTCGTGGTCTTCTTCCTCTAGGAGAAAATGAAATGTGAATTCAGGTTATGCTGCTTCCCTCAAAACTAGGCACAAGGAATGCAGCCTGGTACTCCAAATGTAATGATAAAGATAAAGAGAATCGGCCATCAGAAGGGCGATCACTTCTTGGAAGTAGCATTCAGGGAAGACAGTATGTAGAGACATGATACAGTGTTTCAGAGAATTAAGTTGGATTCACCTCTCCGTATGGCAGGGGAGTCCCAGCACATGCTTGCCCCTTAAAATGCTTTAGGAAAATTCTTGAGGAATATTAGGACAGTCTGCTCTTTCGCCCCTTCCAGCCTGTAGCCCTGCTTTCTCTGCCACCCCACGCTCACCAGTTGAGTCCACTTTGGACCAGGCAGGTCCGCACAGCAGCCATTACGCGATCAGACATGTGCGCAGCAGGAGCCATTTTCTGAGGATGCCCACAGCCATTTTTTGAATGCCCAAATGCGCTCAAAGGTCAAACATTTGGGATCCCTGCCTCCTGGAATGTAACGCAATCAAAGCTAGAGGGGTAAATTGGGACCAAGCTCATACTTCTCTGGAATGGAACCCTAGTAAAGGCAAGCACCCTTTCCCAAGCTAGCACCCCACAAGCACATAGAACTGCAATTCCCATCATCCCCAGCCACCATGGGCACTGCATGATACAAGGCATGGGGAAGACAAATTTACACTGCAGCTGGAATCAGGGATGGGCCAAGATAATGTGCTGCCTGAAGCAAAAAATCCAAGATGATGTTACCCCACTACCCCCACACACACACACAGTCTGTTCCACCAGCCAGGCGATGTTTGAGTGTCACTTCAATATGGCCAGAGGATGGACTCCCTGCTGCACCTGAGGGCCACATGCTAGCATAGAAGGCACAGGACAGGTAGTTAAAGTCCCCACCTTCAACACAGGGCCACCTCCTCTCATCACCCTACCATCTGCAGGCCGAGGTGGCTGTCTCTGCCTAACGGGAGGGCTGGCTCCAGCTAATACCAGCTCCTACTTGGTACAACCCCACATACTGCAGACTATCACAGTCTGCACTAGGGCATCTGGTTCCATGTCCCCTAGTGTCACAGCCTAGGAAAAGCAGCACATTCTGTCACAGGAAAAATAGCATTCCTGTAAAAAGGCTTCAAAGGAGACCCTGAAGTGAAGCATGGATACAGCAGCAAAGGAGCAGAGTTGTACCATGTTCCAGCAAGGTGTAATGCTTTCCCTCAGCAAGACAAGCGCAGCTACAGAATATGTCACATGAAAGAGCAGAATTCCCATCACCCACCAGTTTGGCTGGCACAGTGATACCATCTGGGGCTACAGTATTATTTCTGCAGCTGGCATGAAATCTTTTGCTACCATCATGGCTGTATTTTTGCTGGAGAATAAAAGCTTATGCAATTTTTAAGATGCATGATACCATAGCAACAGCTTACATAAGCATCTACAGATCTGTGCAAAACCCAACAAAATTAGAGCTCTCTCTGCACATGCTGATGGCACCAAAGACGCACACAGTGTCACTGCTCACCTCATTCGTGTAAAGGCTGTGGATCACAGCAGCAGTGTGTTTTTGCCAGTAAAAGAGAAGCAGCAGAGGAAAAAGATCACTCTGAGATGTCCAAGGATCATCTAAGCAAGTCTTCCTCAACCTGGAGTCCTTCAAGTGTGTCAGACTACAACTTTCATCATCCCCAGCTAGCATGTTGGAGATTGCATGAGTTGTAGTCAGCACATCTCTGGTGCCAAGTTGGAGAAGGTTGATCTACATAGCCAGTTATACATAAAAATCATACAATCAACCTGATGCTCTCATTCTTGTGAGAACATTTTAAAGTGACACCGTAACGCTTAATTATTTTAGCAAAGATGAACTGCACTGCAAATTTGTTTTCTGACACTTATATCAAGTCAGCCTATCAGCCATCATAGGTTGACAGTATGTTCCACGTATTAGGTGTGCAGTTTTTTTTCTTTTTTTTTCTTTAGCTAACTGTAGGTTACAAAACCCTGTGTGAAATGGGCCACATGCTGTAAGCATTTCAACATCCATTTTTAAAAGTAGAATCCATGATTCACAGAAGCCAGGTAACAGCCCCAGACTCATAGGTCATTTATATTGTGGGGTTCCTTACTCATCTGTTCAGTGTACATTTGAAAACATAACGTGTGAACATGACAACATAAGAACAGCCATGCTGCATCAGACCAAAGTTCATCAAGTCCAGCATTCCTGTTGCATAGTGGACAACCAACTGCGCCCGGGAAACCCACAAGCAGAACATGAGAGCAATAGGTCCCTGGACACTGGAGGTAGCCTTTAGCCATCAGGACTAGTAGCCATTGACCGCATTCTCCTCCAGGAAGTTGCCCAACCCCTTTTAACAGCCCTCCAAATTGGTGGCCATGACTACATCTTGTGGAAGTGTAACTTCAGTTTAACTGTGTGCTGGATGAAGAGGTGCTTCCTTATACCTTTCGTGAATCTTCCATTGATCAATTTTATGGGATGACCCCATGTTCTAGTATTATTAGGGAGGAAGCTTCCCGTTGGTGAATAAACCTAACTTGTTTGACAATACCTAAATCATGCAGGTATACAACAGGGCACATAGGACTGGCCACTCCTCCCTGTTGGGTGTACACTGAGTAGCTAGCCAAGGTTTACTGTGACTGCTGAAAAAACTGGCTGGGCTTAAGCTGAGATTTTGGGCACAGAGTTTGCATTCCCATGTGGGACACAGCCCATAGAAAAGAACATTAACTGCCTTGAAGTTCTGCATCCCTGTGCATAAACCCAGCAAAGACACACTTTGCTGAAGAATTTCAAAGGTTTTTTTAAAATACATCCCCACATTCTTCTTTTTAAAAGGGCTACTCATCCTTTCTTTTCAGCATACCATTTATTTTAAATTATCTTTAGATCACTTTAGAGAGTAGAACCATCTCAGGGTGCCACATTATTCATTTTATCTAAAATTATTTTTATTGAACAGGCTTTGAAGACATCTCTGCTGTGAGCAGCCTTTTGATTATCTCACAGTGGGCTTATCGTCTTCTGGACAGCTCTTGTGCAGGCTCAACTACTACAGAGTTTGAAGTTCGTAAGCAGTATTACTGAAATTGAGATCGTATTATTCCTGAGTCTCTATGGAGAACTTTGTCCTGAAAGATAGCCCAAGCACTTTTAAAAGGCACCTCCATATGAGTATGGATGTTTCTGCTTGACACACTTCAAAGATCTTGAAAGACAAAGTCAGTGGAAACAAATGTCTACCTCTTAAACACTCTAAAGCTTTGGAAGATAAGGATCAGGTATTCTGGCTGTGATGAAAACTGCATTCTCTAGAGATGATTCCATCAATGCTATCAGGTATATTCAAAAGCAAAGCGAGGAGGAGGTGGGGTGGGGTCATCTGGAAGAAGTGAGCCAGGACTGTGGCGCCTGTCCTCATCCAATTAAGACCATGATGGTCTATCTTCCTTGAAGGCCTTGGTTGGCACAATTTTATGAAAAGTTGAGCACACAGAATCCAAACAACTTCAATTTCTTAATCACATCAGGAAAAAAGGAGAGGAACATTATGTAAGCTGCCATGGGTCCTTGCGGGAAAAAAGGCAAGATAGAAACATAACAAATATTAATATAGCCATTTGATGGCTTGGGAGACAAAATTCTTAAGCAGGGCTAGCCATTTCAATGAGAGCTCACTTTATAAAGCATGTAAAGAGGCATTGGCACCATATTTTAGCCACTAAGCTAAAAGGACCACCATTAATTGGAGGGTAGCCATGTGTCCTAATTTAGATGACAGTCCTCTTTTTGAAGGGATTTCTAGTCCAAGAACCATCCAGAGAGAGAGCGCTGAGGCACCTGGAACTGCACCTGAACAACAGATTAGTGGGGAAGACAGTGATGAACTCTGCTTAAAGTGAGATGTGCGGTTCTTCTATTTCAATTAGTATAGTAATTGTTTCCAAATTTCACATAACTCCCCCTCGCCCATTCAGAGGTTACTGAAACACACAGGGACAAATATCAACTGAAACCAATGCATCTGGGCTATTTTCCTGCTAGCTCTGCTGTAGAGGAGCTTTTTTATGTTGACAATACCAAGAGAAGGCTTCCAGCACTCTTGCATCAGGCTAGAAGGCAAGAGGAAGAGAGTTTAAGCTAATCAACAAGCTAATTCATCCATGTGGGATGGGGATGAGGCCTCTTGAGCAGCTGGTTGCTCCCTAAGGTTGAGGTCACTGTACAGCTGCAGCTCTCCTCTCCTGCTTTTAGTGCCACACACACACAATCGCACAAGGAAGGGCCGCTTTTCTCTGAGCTCCCCCACTCCAGATCGAAAAACCAGCAGAAATCAAGCCCTAGCTATGCCTTAACAAATTAAGGGCAGAACCACCTTCGCACGTTCCCTGACAGATGGCTTCGGAGAGACAGATGCCCGAAGCGTTCAGAAGAAACGGCTGCAGGGTCCTGGCACCCTCCATTTTCCTGTGGGCATCGCCAAATACACAAAGCCTCAAACCCAGTCAGAATCCTGTTCTGCATCGCCTCTTGGTGGGAAGAGAAAGCGGTGGGTGGCAGTTACATTTCTAGCTGTGCAAAAAAAGGGAACCGAGAGCCTGGATCACTGCTGCCTGGAGCACCATGCTGAGAACTCCATCGCCTATGCCTGGGCTGGGATGCAGCTATTAGTGCTGCCTGCAGCTGCAACCATCTTGCTCGTGCTGTTATGATGAAGGGCACAAAAACCAATAGCGGGTTCTGGGTGGTTGCTGCTGCGGTTGTTTCTTCATTAGATTTAATGGAACGCACCTTCGTGAGATTCTGAAAGCAAGGAGGTGGGCACAAGGCAACTATGCCAGTATTGATGATGCCCCCTGCACGTGTGAGGCCGGCAGCAATCTCCCCACTGGGCCTCCCCTTAAAAAGGCTCTGTCTACGCCAGTTGCTGGGCTTATTCAAAAGCCTAGGAAGACACCTCCCCCGCTCCACAGATTAAGATCCACCAGCAGCTCCTTTATTGCAGAGCGGGGACGATCCCCAAGCTCCCCTCCGTCCCACAGCAGCAGCTCCTCCTGGCAGCAGCCCCCCCCCCCTCGCCCCCCGTACAACCCCATCTCCTCTACCAGCCTTCGCGGAGGCAGCAAGAGCAAGCGAGGCATCCGCTCAAGGTCATCCGAAGAGACCCCCGCCGCGCGTTTCCCCTCCCCAGGTGCGAGAGAACCAACCGGAGCCATGCAGCTGTTCCGCCGAGCTGCGTGCTGCAGCCTCCCTCGAGACGTCTCCGGTCCTGCCGAGAGCAGGCTCGCTAGCTGCTTCCGCTCCCGCCGCTTCTTCCTCGCGCTGCTGGGCCGTCGAGGGGATCAAAGTGCCCGGTGGTGAGGGGGAGCCGCGGCCGCCGCCGCCGCTGCTGCTGCCGCTGCCACTCAGGCTGCTGTCCTGCTCCCAGCCATCCCAAAACCAGGGCCGGTGCGCTTGTTCCAAGAGGCGACGGCTCAGGCGGTAGCGCAGCAGCTCCTGGTAGCAGGGGCCGCAAGCCTCCCACTTCGGCTCCTTGAAGCGCTTCATGTACTCGCTTTTCACGCCCCGCGACGGGACCGCGGCGGGCCCACGTCCGACCAATCCTGACCTGCTACCGGACATCGACGGCCTCTCCATAGAGCCCAGCTCCTCGCTCCACCCTCCCGCTGGAACGTTCAAACACAAACAGCGACGTCCTGTGTCCGCCCCCGCCCTCATTAGCCAATCGCCGTACGACCTGGAGATTCTGAAGTACGTCACACAGGCGAGCCTGGAGCTCTTTAAAAAGAGCTCAGGCGCTCCTTCGCTGTTCTACGGAGGTGTGGCCGAGAGAGATGAAGAGGAAGGACGGAGCCTGGGCCCTCTTGCGCCGCGCCGCGCCGCGTTTGACTGTGCGCGGCCGATTCTCATTTTTGCAGCGCTTTTCAATGTTCAGACTATAGTTCTCTACGAAGCGGCTGCTCCCGATGGGTGTCTCACGTGATCGCAGAGTTAACGAACCTGTGCTTATTTATTTGGCATCTGATGAAGTGGGCTACGTCCATGAAAGCTCATTGTAGGACGAACGCGTTAGACTTTAAAACGCCGCGCCACAAGACGTCGTTGGTTTTGTTTGGGGCTGCAGCGCCCATGAAATCAACTAGTTTTTTCGCCTATTTTAATGTGTTGGTTTTTATCATTAAACCTTTCAACGGCCTCGACTGTGCATAACATGGAGAGATCGTCTCTCTTGCATGTCACAAGCTCGTTCCTCCCTCGAAGAAACATGTTTAAGGAGATCGAATCAATGGGAAGAAGCAGAGAGAGACCTTTCCGTGACACCCCGAACTGCTCTGGAGTTCGCTTCCTGTGGAGGCGTGTTATCACAGTCCTGGAGATTAATAAAATCCTATGGCTAATAAACTACTCCTCCAAATTATTTCTCTTTATGTTTTTAATCCTGAAAGCATGAGCCAGCCAAAGTAAAGAGGATTTAAGCTCATTTTAAAGCGCGCGCGCGCGCACACACACACACACACACACAAGTGCATTATGCCCATGATACTCGTATTAGCATCAAGTGTGCCTTCAGAGGACCCGACTTCCGCCCTCACAAATGGTGCTATTCTTTCTTCACCAGCAGAGGGCCATCGTTAGAGCAGGTGCAGGGGAACCGTTCCAGCGGGTGGGGTGGGAGGGAAGGGGCGAAACAAACGTTTTCTGTTCCACAGAACTCCGGGCCAGAATTCTTCGTATAGTCGTAATGCCGATTCATTTACTGATGAATTCATTGCCAGTGCCTCTTCATTTCATTTCCAGATTGCAACACCACAAAATGTGAAAGGGTCGGAGGGGAATGAATATTTTTCCAAGGCACTGTAAAAATGTTATAAAGACCATGTTACTGCTCCTATACTGAGGATTCTTAAAATCAATGTCCAGTCATTCCACTTTTTCCTGCTTAACATACTTCTCTAGTAAGGAAAAAGAAGTCATGGAAGACGTAGGGTCCCAGCCAGACCAAATTAAATAGCTGAGGTCAGGATCATTTCCTGTTCTGCCCACTTGAGGGCCTCTTAAGACTTCAGTTTTATTTTCTTCCTCTAAGGGTCTCTTCACTAATAGCGTTGCTAGGTGCTCATCTGTGACAGTCATCAGTACTGCAGAGGCTAACATAAGCCAGAGGCATTTGATTATTTCCCTACCAAGTTTATGGCATGGCCCACGCTGCCAAAGTCAACAATTTATCATTTATTTACGGGTTAACAGTTCCAAAGCTTGCCTAGATACTTCTGAGTGAATAGGATAATAAAACAGAAGATCATAAAAATAATTCTAGTTAGCTGCAGCAGACATTTCAGTTGGCCGTTTATCAAGAGGGCAGAGTCCAGAAGCATGTTGCAACTATTCCATCTTCCCCTTCTTAATGGATTTTCTCTGGTAAGGAATGAAAGAATGAAGAAACAGGGAGGAAACACAGGAAAATTATAAATGGAAGATAACATGTTGCCTGCTCCCCATAATTTCTGTGAACTAGGCAGTACAGTTTTATTTCATTGTTATACCACCTAATAACCCGGGCTCTCTGGGCGGTTAACAAAAGTTAAAATTTAAAACCTATACACATACATGAGAAAGTAACTTGAAAACTACAATAGCAATTGCATTGAATCAGCACAGAAGTACAATATCAGTACAGAATAAAATGCAATATTAAAAATGAAGCTAAAAAGTTAAACTGCTGAAATGCTGGGAAAAATTAAAAGTCTTCACCTGGTGCTGGTAAAAATACGGAGTAGGCGTTCTGTCTGGGCCAGCATCAGAAAGGGATGGAGGGAGGGACTAGCAGAGGGAGAGAACTGCAGAACGGACATCTTGAAATAAGCTTCACTGAACACAAAGGACAGGGGATGCTGCAATCCAAAGAAAATTCAAACTGTTTAGGGTTTGGTCATTGTTCAGGTGCAAAGTCGTGCCCGACTCCTCACAACCCCATGGACAACATTCTTCCAGGTTCTCCTGTCCTCCACCATCTCCCAGAGTACACCCAAGCCCATACCTATCTTTCCAGTGACCCCATCCAGCCACCTCAACCTCTGCTGTCCCCTTCTCCTTTTGCCGTCAATTATTCCCAGCATCAGGGTCTTCTCCAGTGAGTCCTTCCTTCTCATTACATAGCCAAAGTATTTGAGCTTCAGCTTCAGTATCTAACCTTCTAAAGAGTAGTCAGGGTTTACAAGACCTGTATTCAGGACCTTGCTATCTAAGAGGCACGCCGAGGGATGCCTGCACAGGAACCAAGTCACCATGGTGTATTGTTGAGTGGGTTGTGAGAATGCTCCCACTGATTTCCATGGATCTACTCCATGTGTGAGTCTGAGCCCGACCCATCTGTGTGCAAAATTAGATCAGTTTAACCCAACTCCTTGTCTGGCAGTTCCGCATCACAAGTTTATTATACAGGTAAATAAACCTGCCATTTCAGCTCTTAGCAGGCAGATGAGGAGGGGGAAGCACCACGCCAACAGTCCCATGCACTGGGGTGAGGGTGCCACTTTGCCTCATCAGACTCCACCAGAACTGAAACAAGCATCATGTTTAGCAAACAAAGGAAAGCTTCTAACATTCTTGCCTTTCCTTTTCAGCAACACCTGCAAAAAAATAGGCATGTGTGTGGGAAGGTGGTTGGTTGCATAAGATATGAACTCCATGACCTGATTCTACACAGGTATAACTCTGGATCTATGCTTCAGATTTTGTGGTGTAACCGAGAACACAGCTTGGCTCATGAGCAGGAGACAGGAATGTGCCATGGCTAATCTCATTCTAAGGTATTCTAAGAACGGCCGATTTGTCGATTATTGCTCCCTGCACAACCCTGCTTTCTTCTGGGATCATTTGCAGGTGGACAAATATTTTTAAATAAGTTTTATTATTATTATAATTTTCTACAAGCTAAAAAAAAACCCTAAAAACATCAATCATCAAAGACATCAGACCTACTGGGTCAGCCCCCCCCCTTTTTTTATAGCAATCCACAGATGTATTCAAGTCTACACATAGTCCCGTTTCTCTAACCAATAATAAAGAGTTCCAAGTTGGATGGAAGTCTGTATCCTCTTTCTCCTCCTGAGACAAAGTCAGCCTGTCCATTTCAGCGCAGTCCAGGATCTTTTTTAAAATCAGTTCATCAGTAGATGGTTCTTCACTCCTCCAGTGTTGGGCAAATACAATCCATGCCACAGTAATTACATGTAGAATCATATACATTGCTTGTTTGTCAACATCATCAGACACAATGCCTAATAAAAGACTTCAGGTTTAAATATTAAAGATTTTTCTAACATTTCCTCAAGTCATTTATGTATTATAGCCCAATATTTTTTTGCCTTATCACAAGTCCAGCAGGTGGACAAATATTAAGGTCTGAAATTATGTTCAACCTCTTAAGAAAACATGACCATGATAATGAAAGAAACAGCTCTGGGGTGCCTTTATTTTGGTTGCTTCTCTCAGGCAAAGGAGAGACCTCCTTCTCTCCCTCCCCGTCTTTCCTTTGCCTGGTATTTCTTTGATCCCTCCCCACCTGTTAGATCAAATATATGCAAGGTCCTCATGTGAGGCTATACATAAAGATATCCATGCATGTGACATGCTCACACAAGCAGAAAACTGGGGTCTATAGTAGACACCACTGAAGCATTATCAGGACAAATCTTCCACTGTCACTCTCTGCTATTCCCATTTGTATTTTTATTGTTGCCATTCCCAACCTAGTAACCTCTAGATCTGCTGGAATACAGGTTCCATCATCCCCAGCCAGTTGGAGTGAAGGGAGTTTTAGTCCAACTGTCTGGAATGTATCAGGGCAGGGAGGGCTGCTCAACTGACTCTGATGGGCCCCTTTGGGTTGTTGTAAACCACTCAGAGAGCTTCAGCTCTAGGGTGGTGTAGAAATGAAATTATAATAAATAATAATAGCCCATTCACTCTGAATGCAGCACAGGACAGAATTCCTCCCTGTTGCTGCTTCATCGTGCTGCCCTTTCGTTAGCATCAAGTGCAGCCCATGCACTAAGTTCTAATGTGAAGAAAAGGCAATGAAAACATCGTGTGGCTTCTAAGTATAGCAGCCATATGAGCATGTGTATCCTTCACTTCTAAGGAAGAGCATGCTCTTATTTCATCTTTCCAGGTCAGTTCCTCGAATGGATTAATAAAAATACATGGAATAGCTTCACGTCACAATAGCATGCAGCATGCCAGAGATTTTCCCTGCCTCTGGTGGAGATCTACACTGGCAGATGCCTTTGAAATACCAGACGTAAACATTTCACTCTCCTCCTCAGGCAACATTTCAATTACTGAAGCAGACCTCTGCCTAGTTTCCAAAGGCTACACTCTTCATTAGTAGACCAAGGCATAAATGGGGGTAATATTTCTTTACATACTAGCTCTTACTCATCCTTGCCAGTATTCCTGGGTCATGATGCAACTTTGCAAGCAAAGTAGACATCCAGATCCCCCCTGCCCTGCCCCGCCACCTGAATGCTCTGTGGTTTCAGTGACCTTCCGCTTTCCCAGAAAATCCAGGGTGGCTGGACGATGCCAGTGTCCCAGGAGGAAACTTGCTGTTTGCCCAG